TTCAATCAAACGAGTTCCCGATCCAGCATGATCGGACCCGATCGGACCATGGGAACGGGTGTTTACGGGGGGTTTTATGGGGTAAAAATATGTTTTTCCCATTTTTGACCCAAAAAACATAAAATTTAGCAAACCATTTTGTAGAGCTTAAAAAACAAATAATTTAGTATATTGAAGCGTTATTATGCGCCTAATGGTTACGGAGAAAATTCCCAAAATTGTAAATTTAAAATTCCCATGTTATTCTTATGGAGAATAAGTAAACTGTTGTAGTTTGCTTGTTTATGAACATATTTTGATCAAATTTGAAAAATGTTTTTATTTCTTACTAACTATTGACATTTTACAAAAAAAAACAGTTTTACCCTCCCTGATGTAGCAAACCTAAGTACTTGTTAAACTAATTCTATTTAAATCGGGAATAAATGTCATATTTTTAAGTAGATATTTCAGTGTAAATCCAATCAGTCAAATGGAAATTCGCTTAGTCTGCAGGTTTGATGCGGCGGGGGTATTTTGTTATTTATGACACATTAGTTGAATTTTGAATTGTTACTCTTGTTCGATTTATCCGATTTATCTATATATTAATTTGAAACTGTTTTTCTTTGTGACAGCTATTTTGAGAGAACGGCTGGGCGTAGAAACTCGGTAGAGGTGTCTAAAGAAAGGTCCTGGTCTGTAGATGAGCAATCAAAAGAGAAACGTGGAGAATTCCCTCAGGGCTCTGCCCCAGTGGCCTTTAAATTCCCATCCCATGTTATTCTTATAGAGGAAAACGAGGTTTTTGTCACAGCTAATTTGAGAGAACGGCTGGGCGTAGAAACTTGCTAGGGGTGTCTAAAGAAAGGTATTGGTCTGTAGGTGAGCCCTCAAAAGAGAAACTAGGTAAATTTCCTTGGGGCTCTGCCCCAGAGGCCTTTAAAGTTCACTCTGCAATGTTGTTTACATTTCGACCATATGGATAATTTTACACTACTTTTAATGAACCGAACCAGCTGTTAATATTAAAATTGTATTCAAAGGTCTACTGAAACTGTCAAAATTAAATGTTTACATTATTATTTATAATTTTTAATGGATTCTCCACCGCATGGCAAGTTTTTTATAGGTTCAACAAAATGTTGAATTTATGATACGTTTTAAATGTTTTGTTCAAAAATTTATGCTTTAGAAAATATTGCTCTTAGAAAATTTTAAACTATGAAATAAGTGTGACATATCAATTTCAAAGGAACATATAACTATTCCTTATCGGGTTAGCTTATATATATTGTAAGGTTGGCACTTGCCTTTTTTTCCTACTTTCAATCACCATTAATTTTTAAATTCAAGAAAGAACACCTGAGATTAATTTATTAGTATGAAAGTTTTTGATAATCGGGTTGAAAATTGTGTCATAGATGAGTACGTTGAGGATGAGAGCTGTGTTTAAGTTTAGGAATAGACTAACTACGGAGTCTATGGTTTTGGTAAAGTAGGTGAACTAATGTCAGTTCAGGTATTTAAAAAAATGTGTACACAGTTTTAACTTTGATGTACACATGTAGCTAGGTCGAACAACGCATCTAAACCTCACTACATACAAAACATTCGGAAACACAACAGTGTCATCACATCTCATCGCATTTGCATAATTTGTTACCAAGGCTGGACTAGGTTATGGATTTGGTTCCGCAAATGTTCAACATTTGTGATAAAATTTCCTACAATTATGGTTCATTCCAATCCACGAAATACATGCACAGCTTTATGTGATCTATATGGCCAAGGCAAAACTATCCCATAAGTTAATGAATTATCAAGTGAGAACAGGAGGATTAAATACATGGGTCGATGTGGCAAGAGAAGGAATTAAAATTGCTGATTTCGAAGTAAGAATGTTAATGCTTTCTGGAGAATCTGAAATTTTTATCAAACAAAAAAACAGATTTAATATGCTGATAGAATTCTGTATCTTTATGACCAAAGATGAAGATTACTTATAAATCCGGATACAATCTGAATGATATTCCTAAAGCAGATAGAATTAGTGGTTAGTAATAAATATTGACTCTTTCCGTAACGTGATAGACTAATTATATGAACGCATTCTATCCCATATAATAGTGAAAGTGGCTTTGGTATGAAACAAACTCATGAACAAACAATTATTATAAGGCTCCTAATAAACCCTTTGGGCAACCTAAAGCCGATTAAAAGGTAGGAAATATTGTGTTAAACGAATTCATCACTCACGTTTTTTAGGGAACACAATCGTCATACTTTATTATTGCTTATTCTCCCTTCATTTAACTAAGATTTTAATGACTTCACTCTATCCATCGCAGTTAGCTGAATTTACATAACACCTCAAGATTAACCGTCGATTTCGACGGGGTTCCACTAGTCTATAGAAAATCAATCAATGTCATCTCAACTATTGGATAGTTATTGATATTTACAAAATTTTGGTAGAAATTTAAAAAAATAAAGCAATCCAAAATTATTGGTCAACATTTTTGTGGAAATTCGACGAATGTTTTATTATGTTCCACTGCAATTGTGGTTCCAAGGGGGGCTACAGGGGCTAAAGTCCCCCTTGGACCCTGGAAAAATAAATTTAAACGTCCTTAAAACACGCAATTTGTCATAAAACAGACATCAATTAATGTAGTTTTTATTATATTTAATTAAGCGATGGCAGGAGTAGTATTAAGTTCCACGTATGTTTTATCTATGGTTCCACAAAGATAAACTTTGTGGACAATAGCACAACGAATAAATCAATATTACGCTATGGAAAGTTGTACGCATTATGCAAAATACAATTTCTACAGCAGTCAGCTGTTGATACCCAAGTAGCATACATCGTTGGCCCAACGTTGGGAAATGGTCGGCACGGTTGGGAAATGGTTGGCAGAAATTTTAACGATTTGCCAACGTTGGCCCAACGGAAACTGGTATTCGTTGGCCCTACAAATAAAAGAATCGTTGGGCCTTCGTTGGGTTTAAGAATAAAACATTCTAAAAAGCATTTTAACGAATTGATTTATTTAAAAGTACATAAATGTTATGGCAGCAGAATATAAGGCAAATATTGTAAAAATTTGGATCTATAATAAATGTAGTCATATGATGTTGTGATACTAGTGGGGAACACCTGCTTAACATATAATAATAATAATTCCTCTTTTTTAGAATATTTTTAACTTATTTGAGCTAATTTTTAATAGTTATAAGGGAAAGATTAATTAATTATATAACAATTAATTATAACAGTAGCCTACTAATCTAATGGTAGTTAAAAAATATATATTTAAATACTAGTATCCTCTCCAACTACCAGAAAAACAATTCAACTACTTGCGGCCTAAACAGATTAACAGAATCATTTTATACTGTAGCATCCAAAATTTAAGTATTGTGACCATTGCACCTGTCGGCTACTCTTTGATGACTTAAAAACAAACTAATCAACAATCACAGTTAGCTCAGAGGAAATTCATGAATGCAAGTTCGTCATAGTTTGATTAATTTATAAAATGTCTACTTGCTCATGACAAAAACAAGTAATCGGTGAAATAGGAGGTTTTTGGACAGTTGGACACAGGTATAGACATTAATAATGGCTTTAGAAAGTCAGTAAACAGCTTTTAGGAGGATGTGGCTATAGCCCATGATACGTTTTGAGATTTATGAATGTAATCGTCATAGTTAATTTTAAAAATGTCTACTAATTCATGACAAATAAATGGGGAAATGGAAGGTATTACACATAGTTCTAGACGTTAAAACTGGCTGTAGAAAGTCGCCCAACGGCTTTTAGGAGGATGTGGCCGTAGTCTATTGTGTGTTTTGAAATTCATGAATGCAGTCGTCATAAGTTTAATTTTTTAAATGTCTATTTGCTCATGACAAACAAAATGTCAAATGGGAGTTTATGGACATTGGGCACGGTTTTAGGTATTAAAAATGGCTTTAGAAAGTCACCAAAAAGCTCTGAAAATTCCAAATTTTCTCGGGAAGGACCCATGGACCCCCTACTTTATTCCCCGGTACGAAGGACCCCGGCGGTAGCCCCCCCCCCTTGAAAAGGTCATAGAACCGCCACTAAAAGTCCCAGCAAAGGGAGATCACCGGGACCGGTAGTGGGGGATTTTTGCATTTATTTTGAAGGATTTACTGTCACCCAAGCAATTAGTTAACCCCGGTTCGCTTTGTGATAACTGTGTAGCACTCTTTGAGTAGGGATTATGTGTTTGAATTATGTACTATCATTTTCTGTACTAATTACATCTGTCTGATACCTCTGATCATAAAGACAGATCTCTAATGGCTTTAAGACATAAAGATAGGATTGTCAAAAGACCATATTTTTACAAATATTTTAATGTGGCCCTATTTTGCCTATTTACATTTAGGGATTTAATATAATACCCTTGATTTAAAATTAGATAACATGTTTGTTAAGAGAAAAAAAAAACATTATTTACATTCTCTTTTGCTCTTTACTACAATAATTAATCACAGTGAGTATATCCCAAACAGTGAAACAGTAAGGAAGGGAGGGCCTTTATTTAAGTTATTCTTAGCTGTGGGAGTGTGTTCCGTTGTTAACTTATACTAAAATTTTAGATGTTTTATCTATGCTTTAAGTAATAATCGATCATTTAACTTTTACTTCCATCCACTTTTAGAAGAGGCGAATAATTCAGTTAGCATTGACTGTGATAAATTAGTTGTTACCATGGCAACACACCAGCTGGTTTTTGTTGTGTGGTTGGTTGGTGCTTGGTGTTGGTGTTGGTGTAGTTTTAAGCTGGTTTTAAGTCGTTCGTTACTGAGATACTTGAGTTGTCTAAATAAATGTCGTACAACAGCACAAGACAAGTCACTTACTTGCAAACAGTTTTCATTGTAATAAGCTGTAAAGCCTAGCCTCTCTATCAATCTAGTTTCGTCTCTTTCAGAGTGTAAAATTATTGAACAATCTAACTTATATAGGCTATATTTATAAAATGGAACTAACCAGGGTTGATTATACACTTCTTGGATTAACTTCACCACATTGTATGAAACTATTGCCTAATAATATACAGAAAATGGCTCAAAAGGTAAATATTTCTTATTAAGGATGTCCCGGAATTAACGTCTTTCAACTTACAGTATAAGTAACTTAGCATTTGCAAACCACACAGTAATTTGGGTAATTTCAAACCCATGAGGTTTGCTAATCAAATATGACATAAATTACCTAGGGTGGACTTCCGTATCTGTTGTCAAAAACAACCGAATGAAAATGTCGATTGTTCGATTGTTTCATTCGATTTATATCATTTGGTTAGTTTAAGTTAGGTTAACCTAACTAACCAAATGATAGGTATATTGAATAATCGATATATCGATCAATATTTTCATTCGGTTGTTTTTGACAACAGACACGGAAGTCTACCCATTACCTAATTTATAATTAAAAATAAATGCAGTCCAGAGAGGAATCTTATGATATTTCAAAGTTTTACAATACATTTTGATACATACACCGTATTTCAAAGTTCAAACAGGGGTTAAGTTAGGCCGATTTGGAGGATGAAGTAACTTGAAGTTTCGTCGGCAGAACTCTCTATTATTCAAAGAGACTGAGGTGAATTTATAAACTTGTTCTTGCCATAAACGTTGACTGCTGAAAACCTTTACTATGTCACTCCCTAAACTGCGGGCAGAGCCCCGGCGCGACTGAATCAGCGATTGCTATTGTCATTGAAATATCTCAGTAAGACAAATCACAAAAGAGCAGTGGTGATTGTTCTGCGTTACCCTGAAAGTGGACGTAGTTCACTGAGACACCCAAAGTTAGCAGCACTGCCTCAGGGATCAATAACCGGAGTCTATGTAATATGGCTCGAACAGAGAAAATCCCCAAAAACGGGACAAAAGCATTGCCAGACGGGATTTTACGTGAATTTTTAATACCAACCTACACTAAAATAAAGCTCGTATTCCTGGCAACAATCACATTGTCACCGGCCGAGTGCTGGGTTTAGACAGACACAATATTTGCCGGGTGAGCACACTACTGATATTGCAATAGGGTAGGCCACGAGCAGTGCCAGTTTCGCGCTACTGATACAGCAGTAGGCCGCAACGTGTTAAAAACTATAAAATTGACATCCCGTTTGACACAGTACTGTACTTACACGTAACTTTGGTGTTTAGTTGGATCAGTGATCGTCTGATGGTTTGTAGTGTTATCTTGCACAACTATTTAAGCTCTTTAATATTTAATATTTTTTTCTTTAATATTTTTAGCTCTTTAGTATTTGTAATTTGTTTTTGTTGAAGCTGTGTTTTTGCTGTGTGTTGGCTGAAGCTAATTGGCGTGCTGAATTATCTAATCGAACTGAGAGTTATGAGCGAGCCTCATAACATTTTTAACATTGATTAGGCCTAGGTCTAAGCCGGCATTTTCTTACATTCTTGGCGGACAAATCATTTGCTTTCAAAGACAAGAAACTCGATGGTTGGAAACACATTAAAGAAATATTACCAGTAACGCATTATTTGAATGAGAATATGAATGAATTAGAAAAGTTAAAACCTCTTTCTCATTTGAAAAGCCGTACGTAAAGCCTAGGTCTTTTAAAAGCATCCAGTCATTCTCTGAGGGTTGGTAGCTTATCTGCCAAATATAAAGCCATGGATGGCAAGACTGATTTGTTCAATAATAATTCAAAACTCTGAAAAATAATTCAAGATGATAAGTTTTTTTTTTTATACCGTAGGTGAAACCCCATTATAAAAGTACTTATCAAATAGATACAGATTATATAGACTTACTACTAACATTCAGGCCTTAATTACACTCAGAATTATTTATTCAAGAGATTTATTCAATTTGATTCCACAAATTGTTTGATTTTAGGTAGCAGTTGGTGACCATGATGGAGTGGTTCAGTTATTTTCCTTAAAACGCGGAGAAATTCAACTTGGCTTCAAGACTTTACCTGGAGATAAAATAACAAGATTACTTTTAGGAGGAGCCTTAGGTTTGTACACCTCGTACGCTCGTAGGTTGAGTTAAGGTTTTATCCTACATTTTGCCACCTAAGCTATATAAGACTACTCGGCCTACAACAATTAATTGATCTTGATAGTTTTTCTGAATCCACCACCCTCTGGCACTTTCAATCACCTCTCATTTTTCAATATTATTTCAATGGTGATAATAAAATACCCCCGCTACAGCAAACCTTCTGGCTAAGCCAAATACCATTTGTCTGATTTGATTTTCACTTAAATTTATTCAAATAATATCAGGTTTGACAAGTACCTCGGTTTGCTGCTTCAGGGGGGTCAAAAAGTGTGTTTTAGTAAAATGTTATTAGCTTAGAATAAAATAAATAAATATGCCAAGTGTTATGAAAATATCTACCATAAACAAGCAAACAACAACAGTTGTTTTTTCACCATAAGAATAACATGGGAATTTAAAATTTAATATTTTTATAATTTTCTCCGTAACCAATAACCGTACAAAAACACTAGGTATACTAAATTATTTGTTTTTTAGCGCTTCAAAATTGTTTAGAGAGAAATTAGAGATTTTATAAGGGTAAAAAATGGAAAAAAACCTATTTTTACCCCATGAAACCCCCCATAAGCCCCGTTCCCATGGTCCGATCATGCTGATTCGCGATCTTGTTTGAATAAACGTAGGTTTAAGTTACACATTTGCACCAAATTTCATCAAAGTAGGATGATTTTTGCTTGAGTTATCGTGCTAACGGATAAATATATATATATCCGTAAAAATAATAAATATAATCCGTATAAATAAATATATAAATATGTATACAGTAGACTCTCGCTCATCCGGATCAGCCTTGTTCGGACTCCCACTAGTCCGGATCGGCAATCGTGATTTATTTTTAGTGGCACAGTACGTATTATCAAATAAAAACGTAGCTAACTTTATGTTTCAACGCCTTCATTTATTGTGCAAGCAAGCCCGCATCACATTAATGGCAAAAATTTTGCGTCTTCAGGCGTTCAAAATCAATAATCATAGTGACGATGACACAAGGCCATTTTGGGAGAGGAAGAGGGCATGTCATTAATATAACCTCTGTCAGACAGTCGGCTACCTGTCAGCCTGACTGTTTCGTCGCACGCGTAAGCTTTTGTGTTCTGTATGTGAGTTCTGTATTGTGATTAAATGAGTTGTGATGAACCTCAAAAGTTGTTTGTGACAGTTGAAGAGAAACTCAACTACGTCCTATCAAGCGTATTGATGCTGGTAAGGTGAGGAAAACAATGCGTGCAGGTAAACTTAACTAAGTTGAAGACACATTATTTTTGTGGTACTGACACTTGTTAAAGGTGTTTCGGTTAATGGTCCCATGCTCCAAGAGAAAGCTAAGTTTTCTAACATGAAATTGAGGGGGATGATGAAAAATTCGCTGCCATTAAAATGAGTTAGATCGCTGGAAAAAGCTATATGGGGTTCGGCAACTGTCAGTAAGTGGAGAAGCTTTATCAGGGAACAAAGACGCTGTCCCAGAATTTAAGACTTTCCTTCACAATCCCCATCGACAATTGCTTGAACAATCTAGCTAAGATCTAGCTTGAAGAAGGAATTGCCAGCGATCAGCTGTACAACTGCGATGAAACAGGCTTAAATTATAAATTGTTACCCACTAAAACGCTTGCCTCAAAAAAAGAAGCCACTGCACCAGGGTAAAAAAAACCTAGGAAAGGGTTACGATGTTACCTTGCTGCAATGTTACTGGCAATCTCAGGTTAACTTTAATCGGAAAATCAAAGAAACCTAGAGCATTCAAGAATTTAATGAAAGAAAAAGTGTTGCCATTATGGTACACTAATCAGCAAAAGGCTTGGATGAATTCGGCCATTTTTAAGGTACTTGGTTTTTACTGAATTTGTTCCAAGTGTTGAAAAATATCTAGCAGCTAACAACTTGCCAAGAAAAGTGATTCTGTTGTTGGATAATGTGTTGACGCAACCCATTGCTAATGAGTTAAAGGACGAGGACGTTAAAGCTGTTTATTTATTTATTTTTTTTTTGCCGCCAAATGTCACTGCCCTTTGTCAGCCAATGGACCAAGTGGTACTTCAGGCACTAAAGTTAAAATACTGCCACCAACTTCTTTCCCATATCGGAAATAGACATTGATGAAGATTACATCACTTCATTGAAGAAAATTGACGTCTTAGATGTAATTAGGTGGGTGGCTGAAGGATGGGAAGAAATCCCGCCCATGACGATCGTTTCATCGAGGAAGACTATGTTGGACCACGAGAGTAACAAATTCAAAGAGATCGACGGTGATGGAATTTAAACATGATGAGAACAAAACAGAAAATGTCTCACTGTTGGAGAAAATACTAGTATGTGACGAAGTGAACGAAAGTGACGTATTGGAGTGGATGAAAAGTGACGACGAAGATGAAATTACAGACGACGACTTAAGAATGGTGTCAAATGACGATGAAGCGGAGTACGAAGAGGAACTATCCGAACCCAAGCCTTCCATTCCACACTTCGAAGGGTCCAAGATGCTGGACGGAGCCCTGGAGTACATCAGTCGTCTGAAAGGTGTGTCTGCTGCCGACATAATGTGCTTACATAAGCTGAGAGACATGGCGGCAAAACACGAGCCAAGACGGTAAAGCAGGCCACGATCAAAGATTTGTTAAAAAAATTAGTCGTACTAAACTGTAAGTTGCGTCAGTTTTAGAATACGTTACAGTACAGTTTTTATTTTTTATTTAACTTATATAGAGTAATAACTGTCTAAAGTTAGGTACTATATTTGTTATTTACGTTCAGTTTGTAACGTTTAAATTTACCAAATGGAACTTCCTGAAAGTATGTAACTCAAGTTTTCTTTTTTGGCCTTTACTTTATTTAAAATAAATTTCTTATATAGTTGTACTGTATTGTACTAAGTTTAGTACTGTACAGTTTATTTTGTTGTTGCAATAAAAAAATGGTATGTTCATCTCGTGAACTTAGTTATTTTACTCCTGTCATGTTTATTCATTGCTGTACTGTACTGTAAATAATTTATATTTACAGTATAGTAAATTGCTTTATTTTTTACAGTTCCTGCAATAGGCTACATTATTATCAATACAGTACAGTAGTGCTAGTGTAAAATACAGTACAGTAGCTGACTGTAATTTATTACGATGAGTTTTAACTTGTTTAAGACGCTCCCGTTTAAGGTGATGGACTATGTCACCTGTTTCACCAGCATTGCTGAAAACGCTTGAAATGTATCTGTGACAATCTATCTATACTTATTTAATACGCAAGCAGGATTTTTGTGACAATTACTCCTCTGAAACTACTGAACCGATTGACATGTTTTTGGTGTCATTGGAAAGAGCGTAACGTGAAGTTGTGGAAACAAAAATTGTTATGAAACTCCAGCTGTTGTCAGAAATAAAAAGTGAAAAGAAGAACATATAATTGTAAACAGTGAATAAGTTTGCTAAATATATTTGCTGACTTGGTTGAAATTTGTTTTATAATTGCCTGTGATACAAAAAAAGTACTTATCAATTGCTCGATTTCGAGCAACAGGGACACTAGTAAAGGAATATTTCATTTCATTTCCCGTTTGTATTAGTGCGTGTTTTGATGTAACCGCTTGCCGAAACAGTAAAGTTTTACAAATGTTTGCTCGACTCTTGATAGTCCGGATTTTTTGTCATCTTTACTGGACGTCCGTCACATTAGTCCAGATGAGCGAGAGTATACTATATATATGAAATTTGAACAGACGGTGCTTATGACCTCTGGGGGACATCAAAATGAAAAGTAAATCGGTCCCGGGTCCAAGTCTGACCATGAGATTCATGGTAATAGCTTATTCCCTGTATGATAAATTTGCTAAAAAGGAAAGATTCATTGATTCCAATCAATAATATTTTAGTTTTCTCATGATAGATGCACTGACACACCAGACAGTCATCCATAGGACCAATTGAGATTGATTCAAGATGCTGGCCATTGGAATGAACAGTTAGACCATTTTGTTTTAAATGCTTTAACGTTTGTCAGAGTACAGTTTGTGAAATTGAGAGTGCATGGTTTAATTTAATTGGTAATGCAATAGCTACACTAATCAAATAACAACATTTTGCAGGAACTCCTCAAGATAAAATCTTTGTTTCCTCAAAAAATGAGGTTCGTGGCTACACAAAAAAAGGCAAATTATTCTTAGGATTTGAGACAAATCTAACAGAGACCATTCAATCGATGTAAGTTTTGATTGTTACTGTAGTAAGAGTAATTTATTGTACACATTAATGATAATAGTAATATTGATTGGTTGTTAAATCTGTATACTTAATGAAATTTTGAGACAAACGTTAATTATTTATTTAGAAGGTTGTCATTGATGATAATATACACATGAAACGCACATTGATAGTCAAACGTTAAACATGAAAACAACTGACTACTCAAGGACACAAGACAGGTAAGACGCAACTGAGCGGAAGTTGTAGTTCGAACTGACAACATTAATGTGCGTGTTCGTATGTGTATTATGTCCTTTTATCATCAATGACGACCTTCATATACTGGAGGTAAATAACCTGAACGACACCTTGTATGGCCTGAAGATGGTTTCTTAGCAGAACCAAAACTAAAGTTGCGACAAACAACAATTTGGATGACTGAATGCTGGTACTTAAACCATTATAAATATTCAAACGTAATCCGGAGGCTAATAACTCTTCAATAATTAATTTACAATAGTCAATCAATTGTTTGGAATCATTATTGATTCACAACTAAATTGGCAAAAACACATTAAAAGCCTGCCACAAAGGCTACGCTTAGCAAACATTTGTTCTTAGGATAGTTCCGGATACTACTAATCTAGAAACTGTAATATCAGTATGAGACATATTTTTCATTGACATGAATCATGGAATTACTGTAGGAGGCTCGTCAAACCTGGCCAAAAAATTGTATTCCTCAAAAGAGAGCTGTATGATTAATGACCAGAGTCTCCCACAGAACATTGTGAAGATTTATTTATTCCGTTTAATATCTTAACCTTGTATAGCTCTTGCTATTTACAATTGGCATTAGTAGTTAAACATGATTTTGACATATTCACGGATAATCAACAATGTCATGCACATAAAACATGATTCAAAAATACCAAAAAAACCCAAGCCTGGAATGCTTTTTTCAAAGGTTTTTGTTTTTTATGTTATAAAAAATTTAAATAAGTAAACCAGGCAAAGATAGTTTTGTAATATTTTCACCATATGATACTCAATTCTATGAACAAGAAACTAAAATACTGTAAAACCATATGAAACTTAGTTTTTTGTAATATTTTATTATTATCACTTTGTTATATTAACACGTTCGCTACTGAGCGTCGCATATATGCGACGCCGCGGTCATTGCCACAGACCGAGGTATACGTTTGAATCTTACACATAGATCAGCTGTCACTTGGATAACAGTACACACAGACTACGGGCGAAAACCTGTAAAACAGTGATCATTTACATTGTAATAGGCTATAATTGTGTTTGTAAATCATTTATTCTTGTTTTTTTGTATTTTTTATTACCTTTTGTAATGTCGCATATTTGCAACGCCCGGTCTACAGCGAAGACAATAGTGAAAATTATCATAGTATTCTTGAAATAGACTAAACGTCGCATATATGCGACAGTTCATTTTTTTTGTGTTTTGAAGTGAAAGTAAGTAAAAAAAAAAACAGATTATTTAAGAACAGTTAATAACTGAACAAATATAAAAGCTACATAGAATAATGCTGCTTACATACTGCATACATACATACAGTGATGCAGAAAAGTAAAGACCAGTTTTTCCAACTATTATATGACGTCACCAATCATCATATCCACAGACCAAGCGATGCAGTTGTGCGTCAAGACATCTCTGTAGACCACTGCAAGGAATTTAGTGCCTTCAAATAGACCACTACGAAGATATAAGCATTTTAATAACATTAGAACCCCGACGCAAATATGCGACGGCAGTCTATTTTAATGTAACTAGCCGACACATATATGCGACGGCAGTCTATTTTAATGTAACTAGCCGACGCATATATGCGACAGCAGTCTATGGGTGGAAACCGGCCGTCGCATATGTGCGTCGCTGGTCCATGTGAATGGAAAATTTTGTACTATTGCAGTAGCGAACGTGTCAATAGTAATCTTAACTTAAATTATTGCTTTTTTTCAAAATGTTGTTTATGGTATTTTTTGGAAGAGAAATTGTTTGGTAGAACTATGTATTGTAACTGTGTGTATTGGTAACTTGTATTTACTTCACAGTAATGTTTAACGTTATGAAAGTTCATGTATAAAGATAGCTGATATTGTGATTGCAGGGCAGTGAGTGCCAGTGACCTGATGGTGTGTGGCAGCCAGATCTACAACCACTATAGAGACTGTAAGGATGCAGACTCTTACCTCTCAGCTGATCATATCAACGATGTCATTGCACTTTCAGCTGAGAAGGTAAGTTTATAAAACATTTCAGCTTTTTCTTTATTTTGGAAATTCTATCTCTTAAAAAAAAAATATTATACCTTTTATGCACAGTAAATATTCTTAACACGTTCATTGTGCATGACAAGCAATCTCCTCACCGCTAGAGGAACCTAACCTCGTATTTGTGCTTGACCGCTTTTTTGCGGTATTTTTTATGGTGTATCAAAAAATGGTAGGTACTTCACCCCAGCTATTTCCCTCCATTTGACAATACTGAGGGCCGGCTAGCAGTATTGTTTAGTGCTGCTATCTGTTGAATTTTTGTAAAACTACGTCCACAACGACTAGGAGCAGTATGCCTCTCGTTTGGATGAAATAAAAGGTTTTGATTGTGATTTTGTTGCAGCTCCACCGCTTGACCCCGGTGTTGGCTTGTGAGGACAGAATGCTCAGAGTGCTGGATCACTCTACTCTAGTACACAGCTTCCCTCTGGCAGGTGTACCAACTGTGCTGCACCTGTACAACAATGATGGCAGCAGCACCGGGGACCAACTCTTGTATGGTACAGACGACGGCTCCATTGGCTTGGTGCAGATTACCAAGTGAGGCAACCTGCAGTTCAAATAGGGTTTTGGAGTTACAATCTAGTTTTATTCAGAGGAATTCGCAAACCAGCATCATTGGACTATGGGAACGGGGGTTTAAGGGAGGTTTTAATGGTTGAAAAGTAGTTTTTCCCATCTTTGACTCTCAAAAAAATAATCTTTTGCAATTTCCCTCTAAACCATTTTGTAGAGATAAAAAAAATTAATATTTGAAACATTGACTGCGTTGTTGTACGCTAAATAGCTATGGAGAAAAGTTTAAAAAACTGTAAATTTAGCATTCCTATGTAATTCTTATGGAAAATAAGGAAACCAACTGTTGTATTTTGATGACATATTTGGCAATTTTTAATTGTTTACTTAACTATTGACATGTTACTAAAAACACACTCTATTCAATTCCATGTAGCAGCAAGCCTAAGTACTAGTTAAACTAATACTTTTCAAGTAGGGAATAAAAATTCCATTTTTAAGGATATATTTAAGTGAAAATCCAATCAGGCAAATGGAAACCCTCTAATTCTGCAGATTTGGTGTGGTAGTGGTTTTTATATTATTTATACTGTGATTGTGTTTTCTAGATTTGTTGTTTACAGGGCAGGGGTGTCAGCCAAGTGGCGTATAGAGCCAGGCAAGCATCGTGGAGGTGTTCAGTGCCTCTACTGTTATGACATGACGGGTGACGGAGTGCCAGACTTGCTTGTAGGACGGTCTGATGGGACAGTGCAGATCTATTCTATTCCTGTTGATGATGCTGATGACTTAAACCAACCTTCAGAGAGGTTTTCACATGTATGTAGCCTATATTGTTTTTATAGAATATTTTATTTTAGATTTAAAGGTATCTTATGTGTTTAAAACCATGAAAATAAGACCAAGCAGCAACTAAGGTCATGTTTAAGAATATTGTAAACCTAAGCTATTGTAACCAAAAGATAAGACCTATAATCTGATATTCGAAGACTAAATTTCTTTGTATGTATAAAATGGAAAAATAATTATCTTTAGATGATAAAATGCTAGCACGTTTAAGTATAATGTGATTGTGATTTACTACAGCTTAGTCATAAGAAAAAAGCTCGATTTGGAGTGGAAATTTACAAGGTATTTTGAGTCATTATCTGAAAATTATTCTGGTGTTTTCGAAATATGTGTTGGATCTGATAAAATGAAGGACGTAGTGGCAAGTGAATCAGTGTACAAAGTGTTACATGATCTAATCGAACCTTTTCTTCACAAAGGATATATTGTCTATTTTAATAAAAGGGAAATTTCTGATACAACCATAAATTTTGTGTGACTGTGGAAAATGTTAACGGAATTATCACAACAACAGTACACTCAAAAGCTAATAACCACCAACACTTTGATATCTGCCACCAGAACAACACAAGACTTTCACTCCCCTACAGCTTAGAATAGCTCTAAATCTGGTTGGCACTAATGCGGCAGATTGTTGTCTTGAAAGCTCTGCATTCTTTTTGCTTCTACAGGAATTGTATACTTTTTTCACAATTCCACATGGTGATGGGAAGTTCTACAAATGTCAAAGACAACCAACCAAGAAGCAGAAGCACAGTCACAAAAAGACTCTTCAAAAGTCAAAGGTCTGAGTACCACAAGATGGTCTGCAAGAGATGATGCTTTGTGACGCATAGCGACACGCTATTTTATATATTGTGTGCATTTTGCGAAGCCGGGCTGCATGACCAACTTGTTGCCTGCCGCGACTGCAATAACGCTCTCTCCCCACCTCCCTACACTCTTGTCCTCCTTCTTCATCAACCGCCCTGACAGGAACAGCTGATTACACAATGCTGAACAACTGATAGGAACAGCAAATTGTGACCTTCTCTACCGATGCAATGGATAAGTTATTCTAATTATATCTATGTAGGAATTAATTAGTAATTATCTTGGGCTAAGTAAGGAAAGAAGCATCGAGCCCTTCTGGCTCACCCAACTATTGAAATGAAGGAAATTACAACTTAGGCGGGTTGGTTGCCTTCTGCAGCCAACCTTCTAAAACCTGAAAACTCAATCACATGTTCCCAGAATGTAACTTAATAGTTATCTATCAAATTCATACACATTTCACATTCAGTATTCAATTTACATATTATTTCATTCACTCATCAATATTAGTAAGTAATTATCCATGTTCAGTTCCTAGTTGGAAGGATAGATCTACAGTTAGATAGTTAGTTAAATTAGTGTAAATCAAAGCTGGCTAGGCAGGTGTTCTGATCTGGGTAAAAGGTCCCTCTGGTCCCCAGCATTGGTAGCAGATTCAGCACGCTAAAACTAAGTTTGGTCCAGACACAGCTATTCCTAACCTATTAGCAAATTACCCTGTTTATTCCCTCCTGATTCCCCGAATTCCCACCAATATCTCACACCATATCATACCATTAACTTAACAACCCCATCACTTTAATTTAATCAATCCCCCCCCCCCGGCTACAGCTTGCCAAGGACTTCTGAAACATTGGGATAAAATCTTAAGTGCCCTTAGAACAATCGGTGAAGATATTTCACAAAAACCACTGACCCGTGCAGAGGCCAATGGTCTATTTAAGAAAATTAATACCCTGGAGACAGCAATTCTAGTACGAGGGTCGTCTCAAAAGTAAGTTACACATTTGTTTTAAATCACAGCGTCGAGTGCTAGAAAGCTGGGAGTCACGGGGAATTTTCGTCTGGATGTAGTGGCAACACTGTAAACGTCGCGGCTGCCTACGGCACTCGCCCCTCCAGTATCGCTCCGGCCATCATGGAGACACCACTTGTTCCCACCGTCGATTGTGAAATCCGTGCAGTAATTAGATTTTTGACTGCAAAGAATAAAAATGTAAATGAAATTCATCGAGAATTGTGCAGTGTTTATGGTGAAAATGTGATGTCTAGGCCAATGGTTTCCCGCTGGCGTCAATCGTTTATTGATGGACGAAAATCGTTACACGATGAACAACGAAGTGGCCGCCCGTTCACTTCCCGCGCTTTAACTGTTGTTGAAGATGTCCGCAAGGTCATTGACACCGACCGGCGGTTGACATTGGATGAAATCATTACACAGCTTCCTCCAAATGTTGAAATTAGTCGTGCATCGCTTCACAGAATCATTTAGGACGATCTCAGTTTGTCAAAAGTCTGTGCAAGATGGGTGCCACGCCTTCTTTCAGAAAGGCATAAGGAGCAGAGGGTTGATGCTGCTCTCCAGTTCCAACAATTTTTTGATGATGAGGGAGATGGCCTATTCAACAGGATAGTAACCGGGGACGAGACTTGGGTGCACATTTGGACGCCCGAAAGCAAGCGGCAGAGCATGGTGTGGAAGGGAAAGGACGAGCCTACTCCAAAAAAGGCAAAAGTCGTTGAATCAGCTGGCAAGGTCATGGCAACGATCTTTTGGGACTCTACGGAAGTATTGTTGATTGATTACCTGCCAAGGGGGGAAACAGTTACAGCTGAACGTTTTTGTGAAGTGCTACGTAAGCTGGGAAGGGCGATACAGAACAAAAGGAGGGGAAAGTTGACCAAAACAGTGTTTTTGTTTCACGACAATGCTCGCCCACACACCGCCCGTCAAACACAGGACCTTCTGGAATCCTTCCGATGGGATGTTTTCGGCCATCCACCTTACTCTCCTGACTTGGCGCCGAGTGATTTTCATCTCTTAACGCAGTTGATGCGGGATTTAGGCGGGAAGCGCTTCGAAAACAAAGACGAACTGAAACGGGAGGTGGAACAATGGCTAACCAAAATGGCGGCAGAGTGGTATGATGCTGGACTAAAAAAACTGTTGCCACGTTATCAAAAATGCCTTGAAAAAGATGGCGACTACATAGAAAAATAGTCTATGTATGTATCTTTTAAAATATACCCTTTTCAAATCAAATTTGGTTTTTTTATTTATTTTGGAAATAGGTGTAACTTACTTTTGAGACGACCCTCGTACAATCCTAGGGATTCATACTCCATCGGTTGAATGCAACGAATAAGAAATTACAATCAGCACAGCACAATTAGAAGCAGTCGAAACAGATTTAAAAACTGTTGTATGCCTCTATGAATCTCTTGTTGATCTTATTACAAAGACACAAAATGAGTTTGAACTTTTTGAAAGAAAGGCTAAAGAACTCTCTAAGATGAATAGCTACCAGGCCGATTTGAAAAGAACCAAGTGCTTAACTGGCATATGTAATATGGACATAAGTGATAAGTGATAACTCGTGATCGATTTCACCACTTATACTGTTCAGATTGTGATGATGTGGAGTAGTATGAGTGTAAATGAAGATACCTGGGCCCTATATATCTTCCTCTAACCACTGCCAAATCACGCACATTTCCTGTCGTAACCCAACTCTATTGCAAGAATTAATCTAACTCGTCAAAGTGCACAATATTACCTTAGCTGCCTATCACAGCCAGCTTTTATGTTCATAATGTATCTAATTATAATATAATGAACAGAGAAATATATATATATGGTCTTATTCTAATTCGTGAAAAAGGTTACTAGACTTAGCAAATGTGAATTCAAAATTAGTGATAATAATTGCCAGACCACGACCTTTCGAGAACCTAATAAATTACATAATTGAATTACTATCTACCCTAACCTACACCCTTCCCCAACCCCTACTTCTATTAGCTAGACATCTTAGGCTACAGTTACTTATCCGGTTTAGATGTACAGCTCCAGGCGCTCGACACTACACTACTGGTCTCTTGGCTCGCTGCGCGTGCCTACCCGGGCCGACTGCGCGCGCATCCGCGTCACGTGACTTGCGCTATTGTAGCGACTCGCTACATCCTCCCCCCGGTGGGGTTGTTTTTTTCTCTTTTCTTTTCTTGTTTTGGGGTGATTTTGGGTTTTGGGAAAGATGAAGGACGAAGAATTTTTTTTTTTTTTTTTTTTTTTTTTTATTGTGCTCGCTGTGAGATTGTGTCGTTGTGACATCGGTGTCGGTGTGGAAATGTTCCAACCGTTTTCTGCACTCCTTTTGGTTTGGCTCATTTGAGGTTATAATGTGTGTCGGTTTTGCTTATAAACTATTAACTATTTTTTTTCTAAACTAAAGGTAACTATGGTTTTGAATGAATTTCTTATAACTATGTTTGGTGGGATTGCTTAATCTAACCCTGCTAAAAAATGTGGGCGGGCGTATATCAGTGATAGATTTAATTAAGTTCGGTTGAGAAAGGTCTGTTTGCTGATGAAACTGGATATATGGCTGATGATGATGAATTTGGGAATGTTGTCGAAATACTGAAGGTTGATGAAATTCGATGGATGTATTGAAGTTTGGTAATTGCTGGTAAATATGGAAGGTTGCTGAAGTTTGATGAGTTTCTTGAAGTTGAGTAGTTGGAAGAATGAAGCTGTGTAATTGAAGAATGAAGCTGGAGCAATGTTCTGAAGTTCTTGAAGGTAAACTGTTGTGGTGTGCTGCTACGTAGTTTCGGAATTAGCTCTTGAGCCCTTACTAAGTTCAGGGCGCTAATTATATCGCTGGTCGTCTCTTAATGTTGAATGACATGCGTTGGGTTTTGAAGTTGATATGCGGTTGATGATACGTTGACTCAGATGTGAATTTGGAGATTGTTTGTTTGATGTTTAATTATTTTGGTCTTTGTTATCACTGATATATTCCCTGGATATTCGGTAAAAATTCATCGCGACTACTCTACTTAAGTTTACTATTGATACTTATGATCTAAATGAATTTACTAACAATAAGAAATTGTTCTACCTAATAAAAAAGAAATTTAATTTACTGAGGATA